GAAGGAGGAAGTCCATTCAGATAGTTGGGGGACCTTGCAATTTTATTTTTGGTTTACAATCTTAGCAATATAACTCCATTTCTAAAGAATAGATCATGTATAGAATAGGAACGAGTCCAGAAACAGAGAACCACTTAGAAGGCTCTTGCAGTAATGAGTAGAGAATGGCCACTTGACCTAGTGTATAATCAGTGGGGAGGAAGAAAAGTGGAAGGATTTGAGGGATATAAGCTTGAAGTAGAAATGGAAGGATTTGGTGAAGAGTTAGGTGTGCTGAAATGGGAATACATGCCATCCAAGTGGAGATGTTGAACAGGCAGTTGGTTACATGGGTCTGATGTTTAATGGAGAGAGAGAAGAAGTTGGGTGCAGTAGTGCGTGTCTGTAGTAACAACTACTCAGGACGCTGAGGTGGGAGGATCACTTGAACCCAGGTATTTGAATGCAGCCTGAGCAACATAGTGAGACCCCATCTCTAAAAAAAGAAAAGAGAGAGAGATGGTTGAATGGTATTACCCATGAGAGGGGAGGGAAGTGAGCCTTGTACAGAATGCTTGCAATATTAATATCCAAGGAATGAGGAGGAAGGAGATTGTAAAGGAGACAGAAGGTGGTCAGGAACGGTGACTCACACCTGTAATCTCAGCACTTTGGGAGGCCAAGGTGGGTGGATGACTTGAGGTCAGGAGTTCGAGACCAGCCTGGCCAATGTGGATGAAACCCTGTCTCTCCTAAAAATACAAAAATAAGCCAGGCACGGGTGGCAGGCACCTGTAATCCCAGCTACTCAGGAGGCTGAGGCAGATGAATTGCTTGAACCTGGGAGACGGAGGTTGCAGTGAGCTGAGATCTTACCACTGCACTCCAGCCTGGGCGACAGAGAGAGATTCTGTCTAAAAAAAAAAGAGAGAGAGAGAAAGATACAGAAGGCCCAGCTAAAAAGGTAGGAGGAAAACCAGGAGAGTGTAGCATAGTAGAAAACAAGAATAAGTGAGAGTTTCGAGGAGAAAGAAAGGTCAGTAGTGGTCAACTGTGACTGCAAGGTAAAGTAATCAGAGTGCATGTGTCCTTTTAGGATTTGGGGAAAGGCCATCAATGACTTATGCAAGCTGAGTAATGGGCAAGGAAGCAAGAATGTTTCAGATCGAGAAGTGACTAGGAAGTAAGAAGTGGGAAATGGCATATAGTCAGCTCTTTAAAATGTTTCTTCTGTGATGAGGAATAAAGGAGTGATAGCTTGAGGAATATTATAGATTAGAGAGAGAATTTTTTCATTTTAGGTGGGAGAGACATTAGCATGTTTAGTGTTTAAGAGAAGGAGGCAGTAGAGAGGCAGAGTCAGAAGATACAGGGAGAGAGGAGAGGACCATCCCTACTATTGTGGCAAGAGGAGATGCAGGGACATTTGTGGGTTTGATGTTAAGAAATCAGTTTCTTCTATTCCTAATAAAATACTGTCCCCTATACGTCCCTGCTTCCTGCCAATCTGGAGTGTTTGCCTAGGTTTTCCTTGTGAATTTAACAATTTCCGAAACCTAGATTAAGGTCCTTACCCCTAATACATATCTTCCTCAAGCCTGCCACTAACTGTCTAAATGCGTGAGGAATTTCCTGTGGAGCATTTTGCATTTGACTAGAAGAAGGGTTGGAATAGAAGGCAAAATAGAAATGAAAGAAAAGTTTAGGGAACGTGCAAATGGGAAGCAAACGTTATAAATATTATAGTACATTTGTTCTTGGGCTATTAATCACACATTTAATAATGATGAATACTATATTATGACAAGGAATGCTTAAGACATTTTAACAAAGCAGGGCATAGTGTTGCATGTGTATCACAATTACAATGTAGCATAATGAGTATTAAGAGTAACAAAGAGAAAAATAATTTTTTTTGTTTTAATACGGGGGGGATTACAGATGAGTTTTTGTTTGTTTGTTTGTTTGTTTGTTTTTCTGAAAATATTTCCATTACTTGTAAGTAGAGTTTTCTCTTTTGTCTTCCCAGTTTTCTACTCGAGGCTCATAGTGTGTGCGGAGATGCAGGGTGAGGCAAGGGAGAAAGGAAAACATGTG